CCACTTATCCGCAAACTCTTTATTTTGCTGCAATGTGCACTAAGGCCTACTTTATTGAGGCCAATATTGGCACGTGAAAATAAAGGTTGATCCTTCACATGAAGGCGGATAAGTGGAAATATTCTCGGTTTTATTTTGTGTTTACATCCATAAACAGTGGAGGTGATTTTATATTATTATAAATGTGAGTGCCACTTTGCAGACAATAAAGTAGTCATTCTATGGGAAGACTGGCTGGCCCCTGTCATATGAATGTGGAATTTCTACCAATGACTCAAGCCCATCGATGGATATGAGCAACACCGCATGCTTGAATATTTAGTTATATAATCACCCAATATATCATTTTCAGAAAAGTAAACCACTTCAATGTGTTCTGTAAGTCGTTTTTTACAGCTGTCTGTTTATATAATGTACGTCCATACAGTATTTATTTCCTGTGTTTGTGTGTAAACATACATATACACAGTGCATTGTTTGTTCTTATACACCCTATAATTAGCAAATGCAGTTCTAAATGAGGCAGGATATTTTTTGTATACGTTTGTGTGCGTATACGTGCATGTGTCGTGGTCGACTGAGCCGAAAATGAGCACCTTGTGCAGTTTGTAAACATTGCTACGAGGGAGACAAAGGCGGCCGGGCGTAGTGCTGGCCACCCACCCCCTGGTGTGCCGTATCGGCCTTCATCAGTGCTACTTGCTTACAGCACTTTGGGGCAGTCCATAAATGACGTCACGCACCTGGGGGGGGGGCGGTCAGACATTTGTGACGATGTGTGACGAAGGGGGGGGGGGGTGAGAAATGTGACCTCACATCAAAATGCGCAACTTTAAATAAATATAGACAATACGTTCTGCTTAATTAAATATACTTTTTAAATAAATGTTTTCTCCTTACAACATCAGGGTGCAGCGCCACATTAAATACGCACTACAATGACAATAGTTTAAAGCGATTTGAAGCATGTTTTATATATTTTTTGGGGGGGGGCAGAGCTTTGTGACGTCATATTTGAGGGGGGGGGGTCTGACTTTGTTGTGACGCCGTGTTACGAGGGGGTCAAAAATCGTTCAAAATCGCGTGACGTCATTTATGGACGGCCCCTTACCCCAAAGGTATATTAAGCATATACGGGGGAATGTTTGTCTTTGTACAGTTATAGTGAATGCATAACCGTTGTATAGTACAACACCTGATCATGTACATCGTAGACAAACGAATTGAGTGGCATTGCAACTTTCAAAGTAGCCTCCCGCTCTGAGATGCACAAACACAGACAAAATATCAGGCACATTTGCAGTGCAATATGCTTCACGTCACCATCAGAGAAAGTCATTTTCCATTGCAGTAAACAAAAGCAATTGGAATGACCGTAAGCGCAAGGAAAGATAAGTGAAAAAAACTGGAAACACTTCGAAATTACATAGAGGTATAACACTCCTATGCAGAGGAGGGGCAGAAAGTACTCGTGTGTAGCCAGAAAGACATGCCATCGCATGCCAGGGTGTGGCTCGTATCCTCCGAGTTATACAAGCTTAATAAGTCACAGAAGGAATATATTACAAAAGTCACTCTTGCGTATAAGATAGGCGGTAGGTTGACATTTTAGCCCCTCAACTAAGCTGTCTCTTGCGTGGGAAATCTGGAGATCGTGTCTCTATGTGTACTATAATTCATAAGACATTCATACATTTGAATACACGTGTTATCCAGTTGGGGAGAATTGTTGGTTCAAGAGCTTGACTCACAGTTAAGAGGTTTGCCCGTTGAAATCCTGGTTAGGGTGCAAACCCAAAGTCCTCACTGAGGTTCGTAAAAAATAAGTTATCACCTGGTGGTAAGTCAAGAGCGGTAGTTTTTTTTTATGGAGACTGGCGCTCCGTCAAGGGAATGTGGAATTGTCATCGCTGGTCTCAGGGCCATCAATAGAGGTGAATATCGTACCCTTGCCAATTTGAAGGAGGTAGATGTGTTGATATTTGAGAAAGTAATATAATGCATACTTAAAGTTAATAACAAGGATCGATAAATAGTTCACACTATAGAGGTGGGCATCCTTCATACTTTTACACCCATTAGAAAAATGAAGATATGGATGTATTTAGTTGACATTTTTTATTCTATAGCATAAACATTTACTCATGCATTATCATTTACTGTACTTGTAAATGCAATACATGACTATAATATAAGTATGGTTTAAACGTATAGACATTTGCAGTATATTTTGATTTAAAGCTTTCGTGACTGCAGTAATTCATATTCTTAGTTCTTTCGGTAAAGTCACGTTGAAGGGAAACGTCGTGAGAATGTTTATTGTTTTATATATATTTTATTATTTTGTTGTTTCCCTTCAACGTGACTTTACCGAAATAACTAAGAATAAGTTGCAGTATATGTTTAGGTAACGCCACACACTCCAACTGGGGAAGGCAATAATGTATCTACTTATAGGTAAGATATACGCATATAACGCGTCTATTGGGAAACCTCAATGGTGCGAACTCCAAACGGGGGCTTGTGTTTAGGACCTCGTTACCAAGGCGACAACACAGGAGTGTTAGGAATGTGGTGTTTTTCTCTCTCTCTCAAAAGAAGTTCCCAGCCGCGAACTGCATCATGACAAAGCACGGGGCGGGAGGCAGGGCAGGAGGCAGGGCGGGCTGACTGGGAGGGCCTTGGGTTGGGGACCATCCATTGAGTGCGTACGCATGGAGGGCGGAGGGAGGTGGTTAACCCAAATGTGTACGCCTGTGTATGGGGGGGGTTTGGGTCTACTGACAATGTACGCATAGGAAACCGGGGGGGGGGGCGGGGTGGGGAGTGAAGCCTCTATAATAATTTGTCTACATTGGCCTTCAAATGAGTTCGATAGTCCGGCGGTGGACTATCCGTTTGCTTGAACTCGTTAATAATATTATTAATCCTTGATCGTTTCTGCGTTGATTAAATATCGGCCGTTCTATAGGATTCGAGGGGGGGGGGTGGTGGTGTGGAGTGGTGGGTGCGTCAGGCGTACGTACGCAGGTTGGGTGGGGGGGTGGAGGTGTAATAAGTACGCGTGCCTACAGGGAGAGAGGGTTTTGACATATTTGTGCGTTCCTACTCAGTCGCGTAGCGGCGAGCGCGCTGCGCTCCGAACCTGTCCAACCCCGAGTTCCATTCCCGCTCACGGCCAACACCGGCGACGATTATTTGAACCGGCCCTGGGCCTCCCCTGGGGTCGACTCAGCCTCAAACGAGCACACGGTGCGGATGCGTGCAGTAATATAAACATCGCCACTGGGGAGACAAAGGCGGCCGGGCGTGGTTGCTGCCCCCCCACCCCACCCCACCCCCTCCGTGTGCCACAGTGCCGGACCTTCACCACAGGTGCTTCTCGCGAACAGCAACCTGCCCCCCACCCCACACACAGCTCTTGCTCAGTTGCTGTACGTACGGGTGGGGGGAAGGAGGGAGGCGGTGCCCTGTGGTTGGGTGTCGACCGCACACAGGCACGGGGTGGGTAGGGGTTGTCGTAGGGTAGGGGTTGTCGTAGCGTGGGCGTGCGGGCCGGGCGGGTTGGCCCATAGGGGTTGGGAAGCTGCGTTACGGCAAACATCGTCACCGCTGAGGTCCCCGGCGTCACTTGACGGCCGAGCCGGCGTCGGGGTTTGGCGCTCCTTCAGTGCCGGCGACCTCGTCCCCACCACCACCACCACCCCCCCCCGCCAGCGCTCTTGTGAGTCCCGTAGCCACCACCCCCCACGGAGTCTTCGTGTGCGCCAGCAGCGATTGAAAGTGCCCCCACCGTGGGTAGTGGGGGAGGAGGAGGAGGAGTGATAGTGGCGGTGATGTTGGTTGGGAGGGTTTTATCCAAAGCGTTGCGATATTCTCAAAGGGAGGCGGGCGACATAAAATAGAGGCTGCTTTCGAGTCTCGTCTTTCTCCTCGTCTTCGCTTGAGATCCCGCGCTGCTCCACGACTTTTCAAGACGGCGAGACAGCGGCAGCGGCGGCGGCGACCACACGCAGAAACGAAGGGATGAAATCCACCGACTTGCACGCCTGGTTGAAGGACGGGAGAGACGTGGTGGTGGAGGAGGAGGAGGATTGACACTCGCCTCTGCTGACATCACTGCCGCAGTTGCCTCCGAGGCTTGAGAGAGGAGAGAGAAAACCAGAACTTCTTGTTTGGTGTTGAAATGAAGTTCTATTTTGGGTGGTGGAGAGTCCCGAGCTGAAGACGCATCTCTCTCTCTCCTGCGAGACGGTGCTCTTGACAACCCCCCCCCCCCCCCCCCCCCCCCGTGTCTCTGCTATCCCTCCACCTGTGAGCATTTTTATTTTTCGAATTAAAGTATTTGCATTTTTATTTTGCAACAACAACAAAGGGAGATATTCTGAAGTGTTGCTGTGGAACTTGCCGTCGCTTTGACCTCTTCGAAGACAACCTTCGTGCTGTCTCGTTCAAGGAGCGTCTTACTTCGTGGCTTCCACAGTCGGCCCCGGCTCTGTTTGGGACTTCAGTGCTCGGCTGCAAAGAGTCGGTCATTCGGTTACTTTTAATCTCCGAGAGACAAACGACCACCACGACACGTCTCATGCGAGGGAGACCGAGAGGCTCTCTAGATAAGTAACCCACCTCTCACGGGCGGCAACATCAAGAAGCGACGTCTCAACAAAACCACAGAGGTCGCCTTCGCCTCGCGAACGAGTGATCCCCAAACTCTCACCACCCCCCCCCCCCAAATCTCAGTTGGGGGGCAAACATGAAGAAAGTTTCCAGCATGATCACCCTGAACAACAGCAGGCACTCGGACGGGATGCCCTCCACGCCGGCCAGCCTCTCGCGGGGCACCGGTGGCGTGGCGGGCGCCCACTCTCCATCGGCAGACTTCGACGACATCCAGTTCCACCACAGCAAGGAACAGCGCACGCGGGGCCTCACCATCTCGTCGGCGCTGCGGAAGATGCGCGGCCGCAAGACGTCCGACGCTAACTCTCTCTTCTCCGCAGCGCCGCCGCCGCCGCCGAAAAGGGCCCCGGCCACGGCCCTCTCGCAGCGCTCCAAGTCCATGACGGCCGAGATGGAGGAGCTCGGTAAGGACGTGGCTTCCGTGGCGGCGGCGGCGGCGGCGGCCAGGCTCGTCGTGTCTGGCTTTCGCCGCCGCTGGCGCTGAAAGGCCGGCCGGCCGGCGGCACGGCGTCTGTGTTGCTTGCTCGTGACGTGCCCTGGTGCATGCTGAGTTCCCGCATGGCTTTCACCGGTTTATGAACAACCCTCGGTGATCTTCAAGCTAAGTGTCGTTGTTGTTGTGGTGGTGGTGGTGCACGTGTGTGTGTGTGGTGCCCGTCTGCTAGGGTTGCCACCTCTGAGATGGTAAACGTGCAAACAAACCAGGATGTATAATGGGAATGGAAATCTGTCGCAGTACCAGAAATGCGTTGTCTTGAGTGCTGTGTAATCTCGTACAGCCGACAAAAAATAAACCCCGAGGACTTTTTGTATGTCCGGGAAAGACCAACAATGAAGGTTTCCCAGGACAGTGGCGACCTCAAGAAGAGGACGATCACGGGGAAAACCAGGACACAGGTGGGAAAACCAGGACACAGGTGGCAATCCCAGGACACAGGTGGCAATCCCAGCGTCTCCGCTTGTTTGTTCAGAATGCTTTATTGATAACAAAAAAATCGATGGGAATTGTGCCGCCTAAAATGAAATGTTTAACGTTTATAACGGCAACAAAATTAGTGCGGCGGCGATCAAGCTTGTATATAATAAACAACGGCAATTAAGCTTGAATATTTAAACGATAATTTGTTCGTACGATAAGGATAATCAAAATTGAGCATTCTGTGCTCCCTTGTGTCGGTGTTGCCTCTGTGCCCGTGCTGCTCGCTTGGCTGGTTCCACCCCGTACCTCTTGGCTCTGCCAGCCCTAACTAATATTGATTACCCTGAAGAAGCCCCCCCCCGTGTCTCCGTCGTTGGATGGTGTGTGGTGTACGCGTGTCCATGCATGAATGTCAAGCGTGCGTGGTTGACGTGAACGGGGGCAGTGACCCGGGTAAAACAAATATGTTTGTGTTGTTAACGATGGGGACTCATAATACAGGAACACGGTGGAGCCCCAAAGTTAACCATTCCTTTACCCAACCCATCGTGCGCGCAGCCCTGTCGTCTGTGTATCGAAAGGACCGTTTGAGTTTACACGCAACGTAAGCAGAGCAAACATTCTGTGCGAGTTGATGGCCACGCATGTGAGCTGATAAAACGTGTGCCCACGGTTTGTTAATATGCAAACGTTAAATATTAGTTATTTTAAGCTATGCATTATCATGCACTTGCAAGGCATTGTGCGTATGGACATCATCGCATCCCTTGGGAATACATTTCCAGCGATTGCAATATTGTTGTAGTCACATAATTCAATCATTAGCGATCATTAATTAGGCATAGAATTCCCAAATGTCATTATCCTAACGTGGGGTGAATATACGCATATTTCCTTACACGCACTGCATCTAAATGAGTGGGTACATCTGTGCACGTCTCTTTAGCAACGTGGGCTCGTACATAAATCGTTATGGTCTTTAAGCTGCCAGGGCACCCTTTCTTCACCCCATTACTGCACGCATCAGGTGCATCACGGAGCACTTTAGGCAAACTTTAAAGAGATTACTCAGCTGTGGCAAAACTAATAACAATAATTATTAAATGCGTGTGTTTGCCTGTAAACGATTATGGGAGAGATTGGGTCTTTCGGCCTCCATAGGTGCTCTTGAACAGCACTTGCCCAAACATGATATTAAGTCTATACGGGGGATCTTTGTCTTTTTGATGTCTTGGTATGTGCACTGCGTGATGACCTCAGCAGTCACTGGTTCAATCCTTAGAAATGCACAAAACACCTGGTTCAGTTGGTATCACGATGAGGGGGGGGGCGATGCCATTGTATAAGCATCAGCAATGAGTGAGACAAAGTGGATGTGGTTTTAGCCACATTGGCCCTTTCTCATGTACCCGGCTGGCTCTGATACACACTGGCTAACATCTGCTATATTTTGCCAGAGGATATGCGAACCTCCGATTATCACGGTTGGCGATATACGTAACAATTCTCCCCTCCGGCAGCCACTGAGTTGTTGCGATTCAGGGTCACGAGGGTTTTATTTATTTACATTGTGGCGAACGAAGCGGTCACTTGTTGCTTGCACCAGCGGCATCAAACACCCGATGGCATGCAACATATACAAATCGTAAAGAAAGAAAAAACACATCGATTCTTACGCTGGGAATGTGATGCATGTGCCGCATAGCTTGAGAATCCACATTAAATCGATGAATCGTCAATAAATCGGTGCATCGTTGCATCCGCACCTCCGGTTAGCAACGGTTGGCTACGTACGGTGCGGTAGAAGTTCAACGTGCATACGTTAATCCCTGAACGCAAACTATTCTGCAATTTTGGCATAAAAAAAAAATGCCATCCGCCGGGCATGTGAGCATCGAGGATTGGTGGCTGTTAGTTTAACTTAGCCTGGGAGTGAATAGCGTTAAGTGCTCAATAATATGGTGCAACCTGGATACTATACCGGAAAATGAAACGTAAAACCCGGCATGAAGTTTCCTTGCAAGTCTGTTGTTGGACACTGTCAGTCCAACTGACGCTGTGTGATCGTTCATTCCCCACTTGGGTTTCATTGCTTGAATGGCAGCCGTCAGTTAAGGGATTGTGTAATTCTGCATTATGTCGCTTTCTCCACACCCATAATGCTGTGTATACCGTCAGCCATGATCTATCCACTGGTAGCTGAAGGCGTACCATACCCCCCAAAAAACATTCCCATCCCTCGCATCATCGTGATGAACCTGTCCCATGGAGCTCCTTCGCACGAGCTTATCGATACGCAGTGCTTCATTAACACACACTCGTGGTTATGTAAGTATAAACCGCAGACGTATATGTAACAGATACAATATGTGCCCTATATGCATACTTGTGAATGCATAACCTGTATGGGCATCACACAGTAAGCTCGAAATATACTGTGTTTATATTAGAACTGCAAGTAAACAATATTTAATGTCATTTTCTGACGACAGCACAGTTAATGGCTTACACAACAATTGTTAATTGAATAATGTGTGTGTGTGGAATGGAATGCTTTTCTTTCTAGAGGATATGTGAACATATTCTTTATGCCAATACTCTAAAGGCACGTTTTAATGTTTCCATCATTCTAAGACATCCGAACGAGAGCCAGTGTTTCTATAGTGTATGAGGAATTACTGCTGCTGATGCTGCTGCTGATGCTAATCGTCTAGCTCTATTATCTTCTCGTGCAGTATATTTTACTAAACTATAGCGGTTTTAATCCAAATTCTGCAAGCAGGTATGATTTAAAAAAAAAAACTCGCGTCTACCTGCTTATATTGTACACACTGCACGTGTTATAGTGTAGTGCACGTTATGAAAAAAAAACACTCATTTTAAATGACTTCAAGTGGGATTTTTTTTTTATATATAGCCACGGTGGCACTGGATGTGCTTCCGTACTGTAAAGTGTGGCAGCGTCTCACACAAGCCCACGAGTAGTAAGCCGTGGCGTCCGGGCATACGTCCAAGTCACCGCATGAATAATACACATTAAATAGGACTCGTTGACCGACACCTGTGCCACTACTGAACTTGTCCTAAGAGTTGCTCCTGTGCCCTTCCCCCCTCCCCCAGAGTACGATGCGGGTTAAAGGCAAAACAAGTTCCGTTGGATGTATTGCGCCACCAAAAGACTAATTTCACACTGCACTTCGTATCAAGAGCTGTAAAAGCGGCATTGCGGTGTGTTTATTTATCTGCGTTTCCAAGCGACATCTGTAGAACTGGCCAATCGCTCCGCCCCCCCCCCCTTCCACAACCGCCCTGATGTTGGTACCATTAATCATCGTATCGGGTTCCCAGGTTCACGTTTTTACGAGCCGGCATTCACCACCACCCGATGGTAAAAGGAAATGCACGTTTCGACTGCACGCAGTCTGCTTATCGAGTCCGTACAGAGAGAGCGTCGCAGTCTGCTTAACGAGTCAATGCAGAGTCCCCGCTCAGATGAGCGAATGGGGGAGGTTACTTAACCTCCCAATTGGTGGCCTTCAGCCGGTGGTGAAATCCTCCCGTGACCACTTGTGAGCGGCCCAGTCTCCCACACAGGGTTTCCGATGTGGCTTCCCACAGAGTTGTACTCATTCAATGTCACCCGCACCCCCGCACCCCCCCCAACAAAAACGAATGATGGGCTAAGTAGAATCCCGACTGGGATTTTAACTTTTTAGATATGTTGTCTGTGAGTCATAACCACAAGCACCATTCCAGCCAGATTGTGATCTCATGTTTGTACCTACTTTGCAAGAGAGCTGTGATTCACAATTTTCCTGCAGGGAGATTAACATGTGTACATGGTCGGTCACCATGGTATCCAATATTTTATGACCTCGCGAAGCACTTTTCTGCAACACGTGGAAATCTTACAAAATTATGTAAATTATTGGGTTTTAATTATGAATGTAAAATTGCGCTGGGAATGACATTGACCTTTGCTGGATAACTGGCTAAATGGGACTTTCCGTGCAACAAATAAACATTGATCAAATTACGGTAAACCATAAGAGTCACATCGCAATTAGCTGCTACAGCATTAAAGTCATTGTAATAGAACTTGTGCAGGGGTGAAAGTGATGTTTAGCTTTCATTAAACTTAGCACCTTATTCCACTACTCTAACCTGCCACGCAACCAACCAGCGATCAACTCTCATTCAACCAGTTCACTTGCACGACTGTGCCTGTGATGTCATGGCACCTACCTAAGGACCCGGATCAGGAAGCTATTTCATGGAAGGGCTGAGCTGTGGTTCACGCCTGATGACACTCGATGTAATCAATGTGCAGCGAAATGTCGTGTAAAATTGTAGAACATTTTTGCTCTTTAAACATGACCCCTCCCATTCTTGTTTCTTTCGGTAAAGGCACGTAAATAGAAAAAAAATACAAATAATAAAATAAAATTAAAAAATAAAAAACAAAAATGTAAAATTATAAAAGCATAAAACCCACAATAAAAATACAAATAGTAAAATTTAATACAAGTAAATTGGGGTTTTTGCTTTCATTATTTTCAATTTATTTGTAATTTTATTTTACAATTTTTATTGTTTTTCTTTCATTATTTATTTAAATTATTCTTATTTCCAATTATATTTTCTTATTGATATTTTTGATATTATGTTATTTATTTTTCTATTTACGTGACTTTACCGAAAGAACCAAGAATGTCAACTCCTGCAGTCACGAAAGTTTAAAGTCAAAATATAACCCCTCCTGTTTGCCCATGATGTGACGACGTGATGATTCGATTGGGTCTGCCATCAGGTGGTGGAGGATTATATTAAAATCAAACTTAGCATATAACGATAACACATTTCAAAACTGTTGCTTTTCGCTCCTGCCTTACGAAATAAAAAGATAGTTAAAAATATTCATGACACACTACACAACCATCTTGCCCCAAATGAAACCAATTATTTATTATTTGTCGCGAATGTCACACATCAACTTCTATACTGTAAATATATCCGACCTGGGATTTATTATACCGTTTTCTAAGAATTCTAGAACTACACATTTGTTTTTGCAAATCAAACCTGTACCTAGACATTTACATCACACCAACAGCATGTATCTGTGCTCCGTTTTCACAGGCATGCCGTCTTACAAGAACATTCTGTCCGTGCATTCCTGCCCACATTTTTACTTTGGCTGTCACCGTGCGAGATCTAACATGTGATGCGTGTACCAACCAGTCAAATTATTTAGGACACTTGCGTTCAAGAAAGTCAACATTCCAACCAGTGTTATTTTAATTTTAGGGTGTTCCTCAACATCAATGTTTACGGGTCATTTTCAAATTGTCCGTGCAGGTAAGTATTCGCTTAACACGTGTTCGCACGATGCTTTTTCGCTATAACGATGGGTTTTTTTTCGTGGGAGAACACTTTTCGCACAACGAGGAACGCGCCCGTTCTCGTGCGGAATGCGCACCGGTATCACGCGGTTTCTGAGATGACGGCGGTTAACTACTTTCTTGAGCTGCAGAGCTGAGCGGTGCGATGCAGTACGTGGAATGATACCATACGTGCTATCCCTTCATCTGAGTTTTTTTTTAATCTCTGCAGTGAAAATCTGCAGGCTGATTTTTTTAGTGCAAATGTGATTCAAATTTGCATTGTTTATTATATTTTCATGCCCTCTAATGTATATACGCACAGTAATTATTATTTTTTTCGCGGCACTTTCCAGGAACGCGTCTACCGCGTGAAACGAGGAATTGGCCTGCTATAAAATGCTGATCTCTTTTTTACATGCCAAACCAAGGTATTTTCATAGGGAGGTGGAATACTCACAAGTGTGGCTACAAATACACAGATCTGTCCCAGTGTAGTCATGTAGGCTGCTGACGGTCGTGCTGTTAGTGAGCACCCATTGAGGCATCGTAAAAAGCAGTGGCACAGCAATCGATCTTTATGTTTTGAGTTCAATTCTTTAACTCAACGCACAAACCCGATGCTGCGTCGTTTCCGATCCTTTGCACGAGCGTCTCCAAGGTTGGCTTGGCCTAACACGTGTGCTTACGACGCTGTGGTCAGCACTGGGAAGACGAAGGGAGCTGGGTTGTGCTACGTCAGCCGCAATAGATGCTTGCCGACAGCACTTGCCGCGATAGTCAAATGTAGCTAACCGGGCTCCTCTCTGTCACTGGGCCCACACCTAGCACGCGCATGCATGTACACGCACTCACGCGGACAGGAACCGTGGAGCGGGTTTGTTTTATGACTCCCGTGTAGCACGAGAGAAACATCTTCGACTTTTTGTTGGGCTTTTAACTCAAGGTCCCACTGAATAGCTGAGGCTAAGAGCCAACAGTAAGTACACAACACCAACTCTACTTTTTAAGGTTTTACATACTACTGTATGTAATGATAATGGCTTCTGGCCAGTGCCTTTGTTAAGTGCATGTTATGTAATGACGCTAGAACGGAGGCAATTTAAGCAGGATTAACGGTCCAGCTGTTTAAACCAGGCTTCTCTGGAAGCACGCTCGTATGAATGAGTTGAACGTTGCGTTGAGAGACAGAGGGAGGCAGGCAGACAGAGACAAACACACACTGAGGATTCACCCATTTCGTTTTAAAAATGAGACCACAGTGTTAAAGACTGATGGCAAGCACCCACTAAAGCTGGCATTGATAAATACACGACAGTGTGGCCAGCACCATGCCCAGATGCCTTTTTAAAATGTTTTAATACTGTACTAGATACACATTTCAAGATATGTCAACCCATACCTTTAGTCAGGTTCCAATGCTATGTTCCACTGATGTGCATGGCCTGGAATCGAGTCCATGTTGCCAGGATTGGCAGTATTGCACTCCTGTTCCCTACGTATATACCGCGTGTATACACGCATTACAGATTGTAGCAGCAAGTGCTGTTAGGGAGCACCTACAAGACAAAGGTGCCCCCCCATAGCCTTCGACTTTTGGGGCTGGCAGTGCCAGCAAGCACCTGCGAAGGCCAGCACGGCACACACATTAGTGGGGTGGCTCGCACCAACGCCCGACTGCTTTTGTCTCCCAGGTGGCAACATTTACACACACAACACCAGCTACTCATTTGAGGCCGAGTCGACCTAGGGGTGGGCGCCGTACCGGTTCAGATCATTTACCACCAGTGTTGGCCATGAGCGGGAATCGAATTCGAGTCGCCGGTTTTCGTGGTGCAGCACCTAACGGCACACACACACGCACACACAAAGATGTGTGGCTACTTACAAAAACTGCATGAGCGCCGCGACGATGCGTAACAACTAGTCTCGTGCAACGCGTGCAGCGTTCGCGGCTCAATCAAAAGGTGGGCTAAGTGGTTTACCTTCTCAAATAGAAGCAACTGACAGGCATGGAGAACCGCGTGCATTCGTGAAAGCCTCCACAACAACAACAACAACAAATCTCTTAATGACTCGCTGTCTCTCTCGGTGTCAATTGGGATGTGCAACTGCTTGTTGAGATAACCTGAAGGTGCCGCGTGCAATGCGCGTGCGCTCAGTGCGCTCCTCGCGAGCGCACGGTTCCTCCACCGTAACGCAGCGTGAGCCTCATTGCTCTTTGGACGACGGTCCGCTGCCCTACGGCGACCGACAAATCCTGGAATGGTGCTCTTTCCCCTCGTGTTTAAACTGTCTCTCCCCCTCCCCCCTTTGTGCGCGCCACCTGTTTGCGAAGAGGCACTCGGAAGGCAGGAGGTTTTGAAGTTCTTTCGTAAACGAGTTTCGCTGTCTGCTTCTCGCTCTCGTGTCATGTAAGTCATGCATTTTTTCTGACTGCTGCTGCTTTTCCTCCTCCTCCTCCTCCTCTTCTCCCTCTCGCATTCCTACACGTCCTTGTATATCTCTCCTTTTCCCTCCCTACCCCAACCTCCCCCAATCTCTTCTCCACCTTTTCCCATTTTCACTGCTCTTGTCTGGGATGGGCCTCTGATCATAATAGTGGACCAAGGTGAGCCCCCTCTTGGCAAAACAAACACGCGCATGTCAACACACCCCAAGTGCCGAAGCAGTCACTGGGCGTCGTCCGTGCCGCTTCCAATGTTTTAATCCTCCTCCGTCTCCCCCCCCCTAAGTCCACGGTCGGGTGCCACCGTTTATTGTGGGGCTTGAATCGAGGCAACTTCCGTGAATTCAGAGACACCTCGGTGCCGGCACGCAGGTCCAGATCGCTCCCGAAACAAAAGGGCAGAGGGGGGGGGGGCGTCTTACGAGAACAGAGGGGGGGGGGGCCCACGTGGTGCACGGCAGACAGCTGATGGTAGAGATTGTATATTATTAGATGTGTTTGTCACTGCTGACTGTTACCGCCCCACGTGAACCAGCATAATGGCGTAGGAATGATGTTGACTTGAGCGGAATAGGATTTCAGTTGTCTGTGTCTGTGTTTTTTTTACGGAGGTGGCTGTTGTGGATTAGGGTCAGTTAAGACTGCATCGGGGTACTGGACTGGAAACCCATGCATTCCTAGGTTCAAGCCCTGGGTCACCACGTCTGTTGGAAGGGTGTTCCTAGGTGATGCATGAGCCTCTTATCAGAGTGCTGAGCCAGCACTGCTGAGATCATAGGTTGGAATTTTGGGGCTCTCACCTCAACCAAATTCAAAATGTGTAGCGAGTTTAGTGAACTCGGACAAGGCTTCGTGTATTTCACTGGAGCCCAGCTTTCAGGGCTAGAGAGCAAACAAGCAGCTCAGGGATAGTGAGATGGATCTTTGAGGCATGTTCATAAACAAACCCCCTCTCTCTGATGTAAAATCGTGGGTCGTTCGTCAAACATGGCATACGCCCTGCATTCATTGGGGGTATTGTGTTGTCAATAGAACAATAGCAAAATCAAGTAAAGTTAAAGTTTGTCGCTCCTTAAATAGGCATTTGGGTGGAAACTTATTTCCCTTGGTGGTTGATCTTGCCTTATAAGCATTGAATATTCTCTTTTTGGTATATTAGTGCCGAGTAGAGCCGGGACATTTTTCTGATTCTTAAACTGGAATCGCAGTACTTACAATCAAGCATAGGATCGTGGAATTAGCAGAATTCTACCAGTTGTGGGTGGGGAAGGCAGTAGTATGGAGTTTGGTTTCCTCACATACAGCCAACATACTCCAGAAACAGAATTAGCCAGACATCCTTGAGCAGCACCCTAATAAATAAAAAGTCTGCAGTCTCTGTGAGGCTGACCCTGAGTAAAGTCAGAGTCAACAGCCAAAGTATATCCCTGCTTGACTGTGTCATGCGGTGACACCTGTCTCTCTCAGTGAGCCAGTTGAGGGGTGCGCGGTTGGTGAAGATTCCACATTCCTATGACCTGGAACAGTCTTTCCATAGGATGAGTATTGATGAAAGACAGCTTTCCGACTGGGCATTTCTATGGTATCTACCGTGTGGCAAATCTTGAGCAAGGATCTGTGGCTGCATTGTGTCTATGCATTGTTAACGGAGGAGCATTTAGCATTCCACGTGAAAACAAATATTTGTTTGGGTTTTGGTTGACAGATGTTTTTCGTTGTTCAAAATTGTGCTGACATAACAAACATCCAAGACAAGATTATCTGCATACACTTTATGTGTTGAGAATCAATCGCGAACGTGGTCTTAGCAAAGTAAACTGAGTGTTATCGTGAAGCCTCTTTCTTTATTCCATAACAATGCAGCGGGTTAGGATACATGCACAGATTATTTTAGCGGTATGATTGGCTCTACTGGGCTGCTGGAATGTGTAGTGGCCACTCTGCACCTGATGAGCCTGTTTTGCACCGGATACACGGTTAGATTGTTGCAGCCGGCTGGTAAGCTATAGAGAAAATTGTTCAAACAAAATCATCATCAGCCACAATCAACGCCACTGCAGGATGAAGGCCTCTGCAATTACCCGCTGCCATTTCATCGCGATCCAACGATCTAACATCAACAACAACACACTTGAGCTTTTCTGAAAATGCATCTGAAAGACCAGTGGTTAATTTGTCATTATGCATCGACATCACAGACAAAATAAAAAAAATGGTGAATTCAGTGCCTATAACTAAACCTAAAACAACATTTTTAAAGCAGTATGAAAGGGGTAGCTAAGTGCCTCAGGAGTCAAGGGTCAGGACACTCAACCGTCACCACTGAGAATCTGGGGTCAAATTCAGCCACCCGTGATTCAAAGGTTCTCAAGTGAGTTGATGGTGTCAGCCCTCTCAGAATCAGAATCTTTATTCATCTTCGAGGAATCCGATGAGCTATAAAGCTTTTTTTTACAAATGTCCAGTCGGTGAGGGTCAGAAAATTATTGCACAAAAAAACGCCCGCAAATTACGTTAAGTTTGGTTTTGAAACTAAAGTTAGGGTCCTGCTCTGACAATAACAAAAATACCCTATTGTCTACCATGCAATGAGCATTTCTCGGAAAGAGGGTGTGTTAAAAAGTGCTCCGTGGAGCGTGTTATGGAATAAAAAGATTTCAGGAACAGATTCATGAAATCTTCCTCGAGCCATTCTCTAGCACTGCACACGAGAGTTCCAAACGGACACTCATAGCGTCTCGCAACGTGCGCTTGACGCACATTTCGTAATAATTTCGATGTCTCTCACCATCAAACAAGTTGTAGTTCCGCACTCGTATCTATCGGCTGCCCTGAATTATTATCATCCACATTCCTGTGGCAGGAGCCAGATGATCCATAGGATGACCATTCCTGTCTTCCCACGAAAGAATAGTAATTGTATCAACAAAGGAATTAAAGGAAACAAAGCAATGCTGCTAATGGCTTTCGATGATGTACTTTAAACTGGACTTTTGGCACTGTGGTTATGTTGACTCCCGGTCGGAAGGTTGGAAGTGTTCATCCTGGTCTGGGATTGACACAAAACCGTGATATCTCCTCACTTAACACAATCAATACCACCTTTGTGGGGGAAATCAAGAGCTGGGCAATTCAAGAGCTGGGTGAGGATTTTCTCTGGAGAGACTGGCTCCTGCCGTAGGGATGTGGATTGCCCATCACTGGCTCAATGCAGCCGATTGACATCGGGACCACTGCTGTTTAAATTGAGCGAGGATTCGTACAACACTGGCAGTTGTAGCCTCGCTGTTGGAAAGTCTCGACCTGCATACAGGCTTTGCCTTCGTGTGCGACATAAGAGCAGAGTTGATTTGTATTTATCACTGCTATTACACAAGGACATTCCTTCAAAATCCATTTGCCCATTTCCAAAGTCAATGGATTATTTTGAACACAATTAACTTGTATACACTGCATTTGAAACTGTTTCATTTCCGTCACGCATAAGTTCGGATTGCTTGTTCATTACAGCATTCATGCTGGTGTCCACAACTGATCTACTTTACAAAACTACGTAACATTTTCTGGAGAAATGTTCTCGCTGATGATGCAGTAATTTGAACACGTAGGCTCTTGCAACCAATATCATCCATAATATAGGTTTTTTTGGGGGGGTTAGATCGCGTAAATATATAAACGTGTCGTTAAACCCGCCACCACCTGACACAGCCAATTAGTAAGGTTTGTCACGTAAACAGAACGTGGCAATTCGTCACTAGTACAGCACACCGGTGTGTTGGAGAGCAAAGCCACACCATTTACAATCTGAGTACGTCTCACCAGTAATTACAACCAGCATTATCAGGCGACAGCCAGATTTGTGTAGAAATCCTCCTGTTTTGTTCCTTAAATAGAGGGGTAGATGTGATGACGCCACTTGTAAGCCCTTCTTGAGCGAAGTGCGGGAGGATTAATGAACTAGTGACGAATTGGCATGTTCTGCTTACGTGGCAAACCTTACTATTTAGCTGTGTCTGGTGGTGACGGGTTTAGCGTCACATTAACGCGATCTAATACAAAAAAAACCTGTATTATGGATGCAGTAATTGTCACCGTCTGATTTTTGTAAATATCGGTCTCCCTATGCTTAACCATACTTTGGGCAGTGCTTATCTGTCGGTTGGTGCTAAGGGGATGGCGTAAATTCCACATTCCTATGGTGGAGGATGGGATTGCTAATGGACAATCATTGTTCACTTCCCGATACGTGGCGAAGGATCACAAGGCGGTACTAATTTAGCCAACCCTGAATAAATGATGATGCTACGTTGACCCTGACTGAGATGTGAACGCACACATTTGTGGTTGTGAGCCACGCTGCTCACCATCTGGGATAAATCGTAGATCCACGTGAGCAGTTGTTAGAATCGTGAAGAATGCGCTATTGTGTGACTACAAACATTTCTATTCCATGACCGGTATGGCTTGTACATGGCCCAGCAAAAATGCATTGTTACTCAAGCAGAATGGGCTGGAGATCAAAGTAAACATTCATCAGATGTCAAAAGTACACCGTATGCACTCTCTTCAAATATGCTTTAAATAAAGCTCGTATTATTTATTGAGAGAGCCACATAAGTCAAATAGAAAAGAACAGGGTCAACATGCTGTCTTCTCTGTTATACGTACATACGTACCGCGTTGATAAATGTGGCTGGGTCCAGATTAACTCGGCTCACTGGATTCATAATGCAGTGTGTTAACCACCAAGCTTTTTTATTTTTTATTTAAATACTGGGCCACAAAATGAGTGCAATGGGTTGGTGGATGGTTGAATTTATACTGTGTGTGTGTACCTGTGTTTGAACATGGTCCTGGTCACACCACCGCCTTGTTGCCTGCGCCTGCTCCTCAACATGTAATCCGCAAGCGGAACTTGCCCCTTGCAATCTATAAACACAGTATGGAGGATGTTTATCTTTCTGCGTGCATATGTGTGGAGTGGCGATGAGCGCATTGTACCAGGATCCAAATGACAAGGATCTGATTCTTGACCGTGAGCAAAAATACCCATTTGCAAGTGGTGCTTGAACACTGCCTGAACCCCTCCTATATCAGCTCAGCCTTTAATTGAATACTTAGTGCAGTGTGAGCACAGCTATAGGGGATACAGTGAGTCGCTG